CCATCCCCAGCTAACATTATCCTGTACCCAGACCAGCACAGAACCAGCAATAAGAGAACCAACATTTATTGAAAAATAGAACCAGTTGAAGAATGAACTCTTGTGTTTCTTCTCAGCCTCATCAGTGTCATCAAACTGATCTGCACCGTATGATGAGACGCAAGGCTTAATTCCTCCTGTTCCCAGTGCAATCAGGTACAGCGCTATAAAGCAAACTGCACTTTGTGTCTTTGTTGGATTGCAACTATCATCTGTGTAACATCTTGGCTTTATTCCATGAACTGACGCAGACAGTGCCAGAAGGGACATTCCCTGTGTAAAAGCCAAGCCTCTTTTCATGTTATTCCACAGATTTCAAAAAAAAAAGCTTGCTTTGATCCATGGAAGTTTCAGGATGAAGACGTTAAAACTTACAGAGACATAAATGATTGAGAACCAGAAAATTGTCCAAAATCTTCCCAGATAGGAATCGGCCAGAAATGCTCCAATGAACGGTGTGATGTAGCATGTTCCACTCCAGTTTTGATTATTTCTTGTTGCAACAGAACTATGCTGGTTTAGTTGATGCGTGAAATAAACAATCAGGTTGGTGCTCATCCCATAGTATGCTAATCTTTCACAAAATTCATTTCCTGTTGATAGAAAACTGATCAGCTCTTACGCTTTACCCTTTGATCATCAGAGTTAAATTTTAAGCTCTCAGTGTTGTTTTTATACAATTACCTATAATAAAGGGGCATGCCCTCCAGGTTCCAGTTTTGCTTTTATTTGCAGGATTTCCTTTGTAATCCACTGTCCCATCTTTTGTATAGATATCATCTTCAGCCATGGCTTCCCAGAAATTTTCTGAACTTTCTAGCCAATTCATGTTCTGAGAATTCACTCAGCAAAGAGAAAGCTGCAAAACTGGAAGAAGTATCGTTCAGTTTTTTTTAACAGGCAGGAAGAGAAGAAGAACCAAGAATCAAAGAGCAAAGGAAAGAGTGCATGCCACTGTTATATCTTGGATTAACAGAAATGAACTGCACACAGGATTAGAATAACAACAAACCATGAAGAGCAGGAGAAAAACCTGATGGTTCCAATCACATCAAGAACCCTTTTTTTTTTCTCCTTAAGAATAGCCTATGGAAGTAGCAGAACTACTACTTGATCCAGGGAGAAATGGCAGAGGAACTCTCTCACCGTTGGTCTTCTAATGTGGAAATTTTGCATGAAAATTCAAAGGAGATTACTTCTGAATATTCAAAGGAATCTTGCACCCGACTACTGCACGCAAGAGAAGTGTGTTACGTTTCCATGAATTCTTTTAATGAAGGTTGAATTATTAAGGCAATGGTCAAGCCAACCCGATCGCTTTCAGTATGGAAAAACTGGCGTGGGAACTGGGGTACTTCTAATCGCAGGAAGATAAATCACAGGCACTGCCAAACTTGTTGAGTTTGGTAAATCAATCAGGTAAGTCCTCGAAAATAAACAAAAGCCCGGTTTCGGCAAATCTTTCTTCTTTGCTTCCCTTTAACAGAGAAACTGCGGGAAGAGATGGACTTGGTCGACGAGTTCAAGGGATGTTCGCCAGCTCTGGTGCTTTGAACTTCCCTTCAAAATGGCACGATACAACAAGTTACTCAAATTCAATCCGTTCTAAAATTAAAGAGATTTTTTTAATGATAGGATGAGTAATTAAAGAGAGAATAGTGATACAAATTACTAAAATTTGAGAGCAATGTTATACTATTTATCAAATGAATTGATATATACAATATTATAAATTTAATTTTAAATAATTTTATATGATGTAATTTATGTTAGACATTAATC